CAAGATAAAGGAACACTTCTAAGCTCTTTTTACGAGGCTAACATTAGCCCAATTCCAAAACCAGATAAAGACACTACAAAGAAAGATAATTACAGGCCAATATCCCTGATGAACATAGATGCAGAAATCCTCAACAAAATATTAGCAAATTGGATCGAGGGATATAGTAAAAATATAATACACCATTACCAAGTGGGATTTATTCCAGAGATGCAAGGCTGGTACAATATTCATAAATCAATAAATGTGATACATCACATAAACAAATTGAAAGACGAAAATCACATGATTATATCAATAGACGCAGAAAAAGCATTTGAAAAAATCCAACAGCAATTTTTGATAAAAACTCTCAGCAAAGTGAGAATAGAGGGATCATACCTCAACATAATAAAGGCAAATCTATATGACAAACCTACAGCCAACATCATCTTCAATGGGCAATAACCAAAAGCATTTCCCCTAAGAAAAGGAACAAGCCAGGGATGTCTGCTTTCACCACAGCGATCAGAGAAAAACAAAACACAAAAGTCATCCAAATTGGAAAGGAGAAAGTAAAACTGTCATTATTTGCAGATGACGTGATATTGTACACGGAAAACCCTAGAGACTCCACCAAAAAACTACTAGATTTAATAAATGAATTCAGAATTGTAGGATACAAGATTAACACCCAGAAATTGATGACATTTTTATACACCAATAATGAACTGTCAGAAAGAGAATTTTAAAAAAACAATTCTATTTACCATTGTAACAAAAAAAATTAAGATACTTAGGAATAAACTTAACCTAGGAGGTAAAAGACCTGTACTCAGAAAACTACAGAACATTCGAAAAAGAGGCAGAGGAAGACATAAACAGGTAGAAGAATATACCACGTTCATGGATTGGTAGAATTAACATCATTAAAATGTTTATAGTACCCAAAGCAATATATAGATTCAATTCAGTCTCTATCAATATACCAACAGCATATTTCACACATCTAGAACAGATACTCCAAAAAATTATTTGGAACCAATAAAGACCCTGAATAGGCACAACAATCTTGAGAAAGAAGAACAAACTTGGAGGGATGAATTTACCAGACATCAAACTATACTACAAAGCCATTGTAATCAAAACAGCCTGGTATTGGCCCAAGAACAGGCATATATATTAATAGAACAGAGAGTCCAGAAATCAACCACATCTGTATAGTTAAGACAATCTCTTCAATAAATGGTGGTGGGAAAATTTGACAGGTACATGCAAAAAAAATGACACTAGATCACTTACTCCAAACACAAGTTTACTCCAAACTTACTCCATACACAAGGTTAAACTCAAAATGGATAAAAGACTTAAATGTAAGCACCCAAACCATAAAAATCCTGGGAGAAAACATAGGCAGTAAAATCACAGACAGCTCATGTAGTGGAATTTTCACCCATACATCCCTTAGGGCAAGAGAAACAAAGGAAAAAATAAACAAATGGGCTACATCAAACTAAAAAGCTTCTTCACAGCAAAAGAAATCATTGTCAAAATACAAAGGAACCCCTCAGTAAGGGAGAACATATTTGCCAAGGATACATGTAATAAGGGGCTAATTTCCAAAATATACAAAGAACTTATACAACTCAACAAGAGGAAGACAAATAATCCAATTTAAAAATGGGCAAAAGACCTGAATAGACACTTCTCTAAAGAGGACATACAGATGGCTAAGAGATATGTGAAAAAATGTTCAATGTTGCTAATCATCAGAGAGATGCAAATACAAACCACAATGAGGTATCACTTCACACCTGTCAGAATGGCTACCATCAACAAATCAACAAATGACACAGGCCGGAGAGGATGTGGAGAAAGGGGTGCACTGCTGGTGGGAATGCAGACTGGTACAGCCACTGTGGGAAGCAGCATGGAGGTTCCTCAAAAAATGAAAAATGGAACTGCCTTTTGACCCAGTGATCCCATTTCTAGGAATATATCCTAAGAATCCTGAAACACTAATCAGAAAGAATATATGTACCCCTATGTTCATAGCAGCACAATTTACAATAGCTATGATCTGGAAACAGCCCAAGTGCCCATCAATAGATGAGTGGATTAAAAGGCTCTTGTACATTTACACCATGGAATAGTATGCAGCTGTAAAGAAGAAGGATCTCTTTCCCTTTGGGACAGCATGAATGGACCTGCAGAATATTATGCTAAGTGAAATAAGCCAAGCAGAGAAAGACAAATATCACATGATCTCACTTATATTTGGAATCTAATGAACAAAATAAACTGATGAACAAAACAGATCCAGAGACATAGAAGCATGGAACACACTGTCGAATCTCAGAGGGAAGGCAGGGATGGGTGGGTGGGTCCAGAGAGATTAACCAAATTATATGCATATGTGCATAACCCTGGGACACAGATAATGGTGTGTGAGGTGGACGCAGGGTGGAAAGGGTCAAAGGGGAGAAAAAGTGGACATCTGTAATACTTTCAACAATAAAGATAAATTTAAAAATAAGTAAATAGCATGGCTGGAGTGGCTAAGCAGTTGCATCGACCTATGATCCACGAGTTTTCGGTTCAGTTCCCGGTCAGGATACATGCCAGGGTTGTGGGCTCAATCCCCAGCAGATGTCGTGCAGGAGGCAGCCGATCAGTGACTCATCATTGATGTTTCTATCTCTCTCAGTCTCCCTTCCTCTCTCTAAAATCAATAAAAATATATTTAAATAAATAAACAATAAAATAAATAAATGGTGTTGGGAAAATTGGACAGTGAATGGGAAAATGGGATAGTAAATGGGAAAATGAAAAAAAAAAAAAAAAAGAAACTAGACCACCAGCTTACACCATACACAAGAATAAACTCAAAATGTATAAAAGACTTAAATGTAACTCATGAAACCATAAAAATCCTAGGAGAAAGCATAGGTAGCAAAAATCAGACATCTCACATAGCAAAATTTTCACTGATACATCTGCATAGAGCAAGAGAAATAAAGGAAAAACTAAATGTGATTATACCAAACTAAAAAGCTTCTGTACAGTGAAGGAAACCAGCATCAAAATGAAAAGGAAACCCACTGTATGGGAGAACATATTTGCCAATGATACATCTGATAAGGGGTTAATTTCCAAAATATATAAAGTACTCATACAACTAAGTAAAAGGAAGACAATCCAATTCAAAAATGGGCAGAGGACCTGAACAGACACTTCTCCAAAGAGATGGCCAAGAGACATATGAGAAAATGCTCAACGTCACTAATTATCAGAGAGATGCAAATTAAAATGACTATGAGGTACCACCTCACACCTGCCAGAATGGCTATCATTAATAAATCAACAAACAACAAGTACTGGTAAGGATGTGGACAAAAAGTAACCCAGGTACATGGCTGGTGGGATTGCAGACTGGTACAATGACTATGGAAAACAGTATAAAATTTCCTCAAAAAATTAAAAATGCAACTGTCTGTTGACCCAGTGATCCCACTTCTAGGAATATAGCCTAAGAAGTCAGAAACACCAACTGGAAGAATATGTGCACCCCTATGTTTATAGCAGCATTATATACAATAGCTAAGGTCTAGAAGCAGCCCAAGTGCCCATCAGATGAGTGGATAAAAAAAGCTGTTGTACATTTACACCATCGAATACTATGCAGTTGTGAAAAAGCAGGATCTCTTACCCTTTGAGACAGCATGGAGGGATTTGAAGAGTATTATTCTATGCGAAGTAAGCCGGACAGAGAAAGACAAAGTATCACATGATCTCACTTATATGTGGAATCTAATGAACAAAATAAATTGATTATCAAAAAGATCCAGAGACATGGAAGCATGCAACAGACTAATGTATTTCAGATAGAA